ATGGATGCATCTTCCGAGTTCCAGCACGCCTTGTGCCGGTTTGCTGTGTGCCTTTGTCTCAGGGTGACAGTCACCTCTTTTGCCTCCGTCATGCTGCCTGTTGGGTCAATGACACCTTTGACCTGGAGTCTTGTGAGTCATGTTCTCTGCTCATACTCCAATTTTATTCTGATGTTACTGTTAGGGTACAGGCAGCATCTGCATTGCATGCTAGGTTTCAGTTGCTGTAATGTGCTAGGTTGGTTTCCCACCCGGATGTCCCACTGCTGCCCCACTTTGGGTATAGGGGTCTGGACCTGGGGGCGCGTTAGTTGCCTCGACCGTCGCGTTCGGTTCACTCCCTGGTCCTTCTCCTGTTGTTCATCCTGCTCCTCCACCCCCCCTCCCTGCTTCCGGCTCCCAAACATCTGAGGGTTTCAGGGTCGGAGCAGGGTTTAGTTGGTAATGAGACTTGGGCAGCTTCTGGGTTGCCCCATTCAGGTTGGAGACGGAAGCATTTGAGCCGGTTCCTCCTGCCGAGGCTTCTGGGTCCCACCAGCAGGCCCCTTTCTTGTTAACCTTTTTCCTGGACTCTGCCTTTTCTTTAGGGATAGAGGGTATGGAGGACTGCTCTGCACCCGGGGGATCTCGGGGTGGGGAGGAGGAGTCGACCTGGAGGCCTTGGGCCCCCCCTTTGACCCCCCACTTGGGTGCTAGTGCCTTTTTCATGGGGTTTGTTGTTGCAGGGGGAGGGGTTTTCTTACCCCCTTCCCTGTATGAGTATGATTTGGGTTCGGCTCCTCCCCGGATTCTGTTCCGGGCCCGGGAGGTTTGAGAGCCTCTTGCTGCATACCTTTGCGAGACCCGGATTCGGCCTCTATCATGGATCCGTCCTCTTTTGAGTTCGGTTTTTCTTTCCCGTTGTGGGTGCGTTTAGAGGTTCTGGAGTCTTTCTGGCTGGCAGACTGCCCATTCTTTTCGTTGGGGGCATGGTATGAGTTCTATCGGACCCGCATGCTTAACTGGCGAGAAACTTCTACCGTTCTGCAGGTTTAACTGGGGGGACGAGTTTAAGCGCCTTAATGCGTGCTTGTTCACCCCCAGGCTTTCTCAGAATGTTGGCCTTATGCAGCTGCATGTGTAAGTTCCTTCCCTTTCGGCATCTTTGGTTGCGGAGGATTTGCGCACCCGTGGGCATTTGGCTGTGGTCTTACATTTCTTTTCCCTTCTCGAGCTGTCTTCTGCATGGCTTGATGAGGATATGGAGGTGTTGAGTGCTGAGCACCCCTTCTGGGGTGCTGTCCTAGGCGGCTAGGGCGTCAGCCGCACTGTTGAAGCTCTTTGCGCCTATCCTGAAGGAGGCGGTGTCTCTGTTCTTTGCTTCTCGCCTCGTGTGCCGGCAGGCTGTGCCTGCCCTCTCTTTGGAATCCGCTTGGGCCTTGGCTCTTAGGTATTCTTCTCAGTTTTGTTCATTGCTGTTTTTGGAGGCTGCGGTCACACAGTTTCTGCAGGCAGCTTCGTTTAGTTGTCATCCTATGTCGGACTTGTTGATTCTCCGAGGCGGCTGTTCTCGGCCTTCTCGGAGGGCTCATGCCAGGGCTTGGGGTTTCGCTGGTCGAGGTGAGTCATTGGTGCCAGCTTCTGAGCCGACGGTGCATTTGGAGGATCGTTGTCTGAGTCGACGATCACCTCTGGTCAGTGCGGTGATCGCTGTGTTCCGCTACTGGTTTCTCGTAAAGGGTGTCGGGCCTTTCGCGGTTCGCCTTATTGATGGAGTGGTGAGGGGGGGTGCTCGCTCTGCTTATCCGTGCTTGGTCCCACGATTCGTGGGCATTTTCAGGCTTACTGCATTCGTTGCCTTCCTTTTGGCCTGAATCTGGCACCTCACGTATTACGTGGTGACCCATCTGCTTCTGCTAGGGATTCGGATTTTGGTCTTCCTTGACAACTGGCTGGTGTGGGCTCCCAGTCGGTTCGCTTGTCTGCTCAGCAGGGGTGTGGTTCTTTCCCAAATCGCCGGGTTCATGCTCCTGGTGAACTGGAGGAAGTCCCATCTGGTTCCGTCCCAAGTTCGGACCTGGCTGGGTCTTGTTGGGACTCTCGGACCGCTTCTTTGTCTCTCTCTTTGGAGGCATTGCTGCGGCTGCAGTCCTGCCTTCGGCTGTTTCTGGGGGGTTGGGGGCGGTCCTGGGTCACTCAGTGGTTGTGTGGGAGTCTGAACTTCGCTGTGCTGGTCTGCCCACTGGGTCGGGTTTAGCTTCACCGTCTGTTCTGTTTCCTTTGGGAACACCCCTTCCACTTCTCTCGTGATCGCTGGGTTCGTCCTCTGGGAGTCTTGCGTCAGTTGCTGCGTCGCCTGCTTCCTCTTCAGGGTTTTCGGGGTTCAGTACCTTGGCGCCTACCCGAGCCCTCGCTCGATGTGTTCACGGACACATCGTCTCTCAGCTGGGGCCTTGTGACCAGTGTTCATCAGGCCGGCCAGGAACGGTGGGGTCCGTCCTTCCGTTGGGCTCACAGCATGATGCGGGAGTTTGTGGCGGTTTGGTTTTTTCTTTGGTGGGTTCGGGTTGCTCGGGGTTCAACCATCTGGCTGCATTCGGATTGTTCCCCGGTGGTTCATTGCCTGAACCAAGGGGGTTCTCTTCAGTCCTTGCCTCTTTGGGGCTGGTCGCTTCAAGTGGCTCGTCTGCTAGCTTCTTTGGGTTTGGCTCTCCGTGTGGTTTATATCTGGGGAGTATCCAACGTCCTGGCGGACGGCTTGTCTCTCTTCATTCCCCGTCCACAGAATGGACGATCAACGCCAACTCATTTCATTGACTCTGCCAGACGTACAAACTCCTGAAAGTGGACCTCTTCGCGTCGGCGTGGTCACGGCGTCTCCCGATCTATGTGGCGCCCTTCCCCGACTGCGAGGCTTTCACGGTGGATGCCTTTCAGCAAGACTGGTCGAGGTGAGGGGTACCTGTACCTCTTTTTCCCGGTCCAGTTGTTGCTTCGGGTTCTGGCTCGGTTGGAGTTCTTCCCAGGGAGAGTAGTCCTCGTGACCCCTTGTGGCTGGCCCAGCCTTGGTTTCAGACGCTGCTTGCTCTGTGGCCAGCCCAGCCTTGGTTTCAGGCGCTGCTTGTTCAGTGTCCAAACCCGGGGCATTTTCCACGGCTCTGCCTCTTTCCGCAGGTCGGACCGATCCGGTACGTGGCTGGTTCGGCTTTTTCCTCTGCTCTTCGTGTCTGGTCTTTTTGACGTGGGTGTATCACCACCTGTATGGTGATCAGGTAGCTTCGTTGATGGTGTCTCACCTGAGGGCTCTGTCTCGGTGACAGTATGAAGTTTCCTGGTGTTCTTTTCGGCATTTTCTCTCTCTTTGTAGGTTGTCTTTTATTTCAGATCAGATTGTTTTGTCCTTTCTTGATGCTTGGTTGATCAGGCTGGGGGTGCATCATGTGTTGTATCCGGTTGCAGCTCTCCGCTGTTACCTGCGCGCTTTTACTGCGGTGGCTGGGGATGCACTTTGGGTTGATCCGGTTTCCGTCGTTCCCTGTTCCAGGGCTTGGGTCTCCCTGTTCATCTGCAGGGCTATTAGGTCTAGCCAGCTTGCAGTCTATCCTCGTGCCCATGACGTTAGGAAAGTTTGCTGCTTTGGTTGCCATGTTTGGTAACATGTCTTGGGCTGATACTCGGGCGCGGGGATTTTGGAGGTCGAACAGGGTCCTGGCCGCCCGTTATTTGGTGAACGTGCCTGCTCCTGGGCGTTCCTGTGTTACTTTGGGTCGCAGATTGCAGCCAGTTGTCTCGACTTCGCATTGAGGAGTTTGTGGTGGCCGCCTCCCGGGTGAGTCCCTCTATTTCTTCTCTTTGGGGTCTGTAGCTCTAGGGAGCCGTAGGGGCTCCACACAGAAAACCAGCGTTGAATGTAATGAAACGCCATTTTCTGAGCATGCCCTAGAGGCTCCCTGGCAACCCTCCCTCTTTCTCTCCGTCTGGTCGGTATTTTTTCATGTTGTTTTGATACTTAGCTTTCGAACTAAAGGCTTGAGTAGCCGGCGTGGGAGGTCTGGGGCCCCCCCCTCCCCCTCTCGGGAAGGGGTGATCTGCACAGACGAGCAGCACGGCAGTAGAGTGTGACGTTTGCGTGTTTCCTTTGGATTGGAGGGAATTCTACCTCTCTTTTTGGTTTGTTGTTAGTTTCTTACCATGTGGGGTTTGTTTTGTTATGCCTACCTTTCTGGGTGCCTAACCCCGGTCGATGGCATATACAGAAAACTCTCAACCACAAGGGTGTTTTCCAAGGCCATTGCTCCTGAAGCCTCTTTGAAGGGGCCAGGTTCTGGCTCGTGGTCCCTGGTAGGTGGAACTCCATAGCTAATGCCCCGGTTTAATAATATCACACGCCTTGGAGCCTGATAAGCTCCAAGGAGCCTCCGGGGCTCGCCTAGAAAATAGTTTCATTACATTCATCGCTGGTTTTTATCATTTTTACTTCTAATTGTCTCCATTTTATTTTCTCCCTTGTATGTATTCCTTCCCCTAATCATACTGTCTGTCAATCCTTCACTTAAATAATATTCCACTAATTCATTAATTTGTCTCTGTTTTCTCCCATTTGCTACATTCCCCTCCCTTTCTTGCCATTTTCCCTATCTTAATTATGTCATACCCCTTCTATGTTTTACAATGCTGCCTCATCCGTTTTACTATATTTCCCTTATTTTACCATATTAACATTGTACTTTCCCCCATGTTCATTACCGTACGAGACATCCGAATCTGTAATTATTTCATACCTCATTTACTCATGTTATTCTTACTCATTATACTATGTTATATTTTATTTCTATGTTGTATTATTTCTCTACATTCAACATCAAATCTCTCCTCTCTATTTTATTGAAATTTTTCCTATATTTCCTCTTTCTTGTATAATGAATCTTCATGTGCTTGCTTTCTTTCTCCACTCCCATCCCCTCTTTCCTCTCCATTCTACCACCCTCTCCTCCCCATCTGCCATAAATCCCCACCCCCAGAGAATGAGAAAGTACTACTTGGAAGCGGAACTATGGATGTCTGATGAACGAAGAGACTCATTAGATCGCGAGGTACTCGTAACAAGAAGTTCTTACCCATGCCTATAGAGAGTGCTTTTGTATTAATAATGTGATTTGTTGTTGTTAATGGGTTGTTCCATAGTATATTTTTTGTTGTAAAATAATCAAATGTGCATGAGGTTGAATCACCCAGATAGATCGAAGAAATAATTATAGTAAAGGGCAAGGTTTGTAAATCTGTCAGGCTGGCTTTATAGCAAATTTTGGGTAAAGTAATTAGCTCTTGTTCAAACTTCGAAATATCTGGTATCGATTGTTTTTGTGCTATTACATAACACTGCATGATATATGGGATATTGAAAATGTAACTTCTATAGCTACAGGGAATAGAAATAGGTATCTGTGGTTGTATTTATATAAAACAACTCTTTAGATTGCTTTATGTTAATATATCAGATGAAATTAAAGTTTTAAGGTGTTTACAAATGCTTATAGGCCTACTTATAGGTAGTTCATAGGCCTACCGGGGACCATGTGCCAGAACCTGGCCCCCCTCAGAGAGGCACGAGGAGCAATGGCCTATAGAAACCCCCCATTTGGTTGGAAGCATTCTGTATCTGCCATCGACCGGGTCAGACACCCAGAAAGGTAAGCATCCCAAAACAAACCCCTCTTCTGGTTAAGAAATTGCGACTAAAAGCCGAACTAGTGGACAGAACTTCCCAAACAAAAACAAGCAAACGAGCATGACATCACCACGCCACCATCTGCGCAGCTCCATTCCCCCCCTCCCCGGGAGGGGGAAGGGGAAGCCCCAGACTCCTCGCGCCGGCTATCCAAAACCTTAGTTCTGAGACTGATGCACAAGGCTGAAGTAGTATGCTCTGGCTCCGGTTTTTGTCTTCAGCTCTGTGCCCTTGTGATGTGGTGGCTGTCTCATAGGGGGTGTGTGAGCCAGGAGTAATTCTTCAGTACTCAGGCTGCATGCATGCACCTAGGGTTACCTTCCCTAGGTGCCTGGTAAGTACTGCCCTTGGGGCTTGGGAGGTCATCTTCCACAAGTTCCTTGAGTTCTGCCTCTATTCGGTCGTTTGCTACTCGACTTTCGGCCACTCTTTGTGTGCTAGAGTGTTCTGGCTCTCTTGCTCACCTTAGGGTAAGAGGCAATTTGCACTGGTAAGGGCGCAGGGTACTGCGCAGCTTATTTTCACCTATCATGGCGGCAGGCTCTGTTCCGCCTGGGTACGTTGTCCTCATGCAGGGTTTTTATTTATTTTTGTTTTCCCCGCCTGGTGGCGGGGTCTGCCTTTGCTTGGTTGCCCCCTATCTGTATATCGTACACTTCCGTATTTCTGGTGATACCCCCTGCTCGGTCCCCGTGAGTGTACATGTCCCGGGGGTTCAGTACTTAGGCAACCCCCGGGATTGTACTAACTAAATGGCTCCTGGAACTGAAGGACAGGAGCTACTAGGGTAGGTTAGATGCATTAAATATGCCAAAATTAGAAGGTAGAAGAAAAAGAGGCAATATGATCACTACATACAAAATAGTAACGAGAATCGATAAAATTGATAGGGAAGAATTCCTGAAACCTGGAGCTTCAAGAACAAGAGGTCATAAATTTGAACTAACTAAACAAAGCTGTCAAAGAAATATAAGAAAATTCACTTTCACAAATAGTGTGTGTAGACTGTTGGAACAATTTATGTGAGGTGGTGGTGGAGGCCAAAACCGTCAGTAGTTTCAAAACGTCATATGACAAAGAGTGCTGGGAAGACAGGCCAGCACGAATGTAGCTCTCATCCTGTAACTACACTTAGGTAATTACAAAAAAATCTGTGCTGATGGGAGGCAGAAAATGCATTAACCAAAAATCCAGTGGAAGGGACTCAAAAGATGAGAAAAAACAGCAGTCGGTTAAAATTCCCCATAATTTGGCTGGCAGATGGAAGCTAGTCACTGTAAATGGAATCAGACCAAATCGTGATCAGGACAGTAAACAAGAAAGTCTCCGTGGCATGTAAAATACATGAACACAAAGGATCCCAAAGAACTCAATGTGAGGAAACTCCAGCATAAGTTAGAGATATATTTACCCTCACTAGAAAGGAGTTCACCGGCCCCAGGATTGCAGCCCATTTGTCATCCTTGCAGCAGGGATATGTAAAATTATGGAAGTGTGTTGTACCTCAAAGCCTAATGCACCAGGAATCTGCTGAGAAATGAATGTTTAATAATACTCTTGACTTCGTTCGCTTGTTGAATATGCTCAGATACTGTACTTACATGCTTCATAAATATCAAGAATATTAGTTTAATTTGACATAGTATTGTATAGATTTTGATTTTTCTCATGTTTATTTTAAACATTAAAATTACTTTATTTGCCGGCATATAAGACTCACTTTTTCATGGGGAGCCCCTTCGGCTCCCTGGAGCTATCGGGGTAATATGCGAATCATTAGACCGGAGAAAGCCGGGTTTGGCTTTGTCAGGTGTTTTGATTCAGCCTCTGGGTGCCTTATGTCGGCTGCTGTGTCACCGGCTTCCTCTTTGGGTTTTTCGAGGTTCAGTGCCTTGGCGCCTACTTGAGCCCTCGCTTGATGTATTCACAGACGAGTTGTCTCTTGGCTGGGGCTTTGTAACCAGTGCTCATGAGGCTGGCCAGAGGCGGTGGGGCCTGTCCTTCCGTTGGGCCCACAACACGGTGTGGGAGTTCGCGGTCGTGTGGATGTCGCTTCGGAGGATTCAGGTCGCTCGGGGTTCGACAATCTGGCTCCATTTGGAATGCTCCCTGGTGGTTCATTGCCTGAACTGCAGGGGTTTGATGCAGTCTTTCGCTCTTTGGGGCTGGTCGTTTTGGGTGCCTCGTCTGCCGAGTTCTCGGGGGTTTGGCTTTGGCCATTCTTGTTTGTGGGTGTCCAACATCCTGGCGGACGGCCTGTCACAGTTCATTCCCCTGTCCACGGAATGGACGGTCGATGGTGATTCGTTCAGTTGGCTCTGCTGGACGTACGGGCTCCAGGAGGTCGACCTCTTCACATCTCGCTCCCTGTTCCAGGGGTTGGGTCACCCAGGTCGTCCATCGGGTTGGGTCTCCCAGATCGTCCGTAGGGTTATTAAGTCTAGCCAGCCTGCGATCTATCCTCGTGCCCATGACATTAAGAAGTTTGCTGCATTGGCAACTGGTCTTGGGTTGATATTTGGGAGCGGGGATTTTGGAAGTCAAACAGGGTCCTGGCCGCCCGTTATTTGGTTAACGTTCCTGCTCCTGGGCGTTCCTGTGTTGCTATGGGTTGCAGGTTGCAGCCAGTTGTCTCGACTTCTCGTTGAGGAGTATGTGACAGCTGTCTCTCGGGTACGTCCCTCTTTTCCTTATCTGTGGGTATGTAGCTCCAGGGAGCCGTAAGGGCTCCCCACGGAAAACCAGCATTGAATGTAATGAAACGCCATTTTCTGGGTGAGCTCCAAAGGCTCCTTGGCAACCCTCCCTCCCTCCCTCCCTCCGATCGGCTGTTTTCTGCGTTGTTTGATGCTTGGCTTCTGAACGGGAGTACTAGGTAGCTAGTACAGGGAGGTCCGGGGCTCCACCCTCCCCCTCTCGGGGAAGGGAGGGCATAGCGGATGAGCGGCGTGGCAGTGGCGTGTGATGTGTGGTTGTTTTCTAGGGCTATATCTGCTGTATCTCTTCATTTTTTTTTTTTTGTACTTTTCTTACAATATGGGGTTTGTTTAGCTATGCCTACCTTTCTGGGTGCCTAACCCTGGTTGATGGCAGATAAGGAAAACCCCAACCACAAGGGGTTTTCCAGGGCCATTGCTCCCTGAACTTCTCTGAGGGGGGTCAGGTTCTGGCTTGTCATCCCCGGTAGGTTGAAGTCCATAGACTAATGCTCCGATCTAATATATCGCACATTATCCTGATAGCTCCAGGGAGCCTCCGGGGCTCACCCAGAAAATGGAGTTTCATTACACTCAACGCTCTTTTATTGGTCCAGCAGGAATGTTTGCTAAAAGACCCCTGCTGCATTGGGGGGAAATGTTGATGTGTGTGATTATGTCGAGTCCTGTCCATGGACGAGCAAAACATTGCATAAGGAAGCAATGAAGTGTCTTGCTCAGGAAGGAGCTTTTCTTGTACAGTACACTCAGACATATTTTTTATTTTTCCCTTTGATACTATTGTACAGTACAGTACAACCTCGATTCAATGCGCTATATGGGACCAACCCTGGCTTGTTGCGGGGTTGGATTCATTGCAAGAGGTGACCTTCAGGAGACGTTTGCATCAGTGTCTTTTTTTTTGTCTTGTACACAATAAAAATGCATCATCATATTAAATACTGTACCTATATAATGTCTCCACTCGATTATCTGGACTATATGGGAAGGACCTCCAGCCGGATAATCACGTATTCCGGATAATGGTACTTTTTCACCTCCGAGTCCAAAAGTAACCATTTCCAACTATTTTTATACTACAAACAACATAATTTGAATTGCCTTGCCACATATGATTATTAAATATTAAACTAGAAACCTCAACTTACCTTGTTGTTGTTCATCTTCTTGATTGATGCCATACATCTTGAAGTTAAGAATTCTTGACAATTTATGTAACTTATACTAACACAACACTAAAATTAACACATAAATTACTGTACAGTTCATTAAGCAAAGTTAGTTTTGACTGCCAGCTACTGAAGCCTCACTGGTTGAAGGTGCTTGGCTTGCCTGTGATGCCTCACTTGTTGAAGGTGCTTGGCTTGCCTGTGACGCCTCACTTGTTGAAGGCGCTGTTCTTGCCTGTGACGCCTCACTGGTTGAAGGCGCTTGGCTTGATTTTCGCACCATATAAGAATCAAGTGTAGCTTGCCTTCTGTGTTCGTTGGCCAGTTGTATGATCAGCTCTTTGGTTCGCCTCAGGTACTGATACATGTTTTCAACTTCTGGATGAGCACAATTGGATGAAAAATTTATTAATCCGTCAACATAGGTCATGAGTACATTGTATTTCGTGGTCATTGGTGTTGGTTCTTCACTGTCTTCT